CATTATAACATAATGCAGTTAACTTTATTTTAGCATAACCTTTGCATTCACTTACCATTTTGCTTTTATACATTCGTTATTTAGATTATTTTGCTTATTTAAAACTCATGAATAAATGAAACTGTGTCTCTACTTGAACAGGACATTATTAATCCATCAGTACTTTTGGGATTGGCATCAACTAATGTCTCCAAAGAAAATATTATTATTGAGGAAGAAAAGGTAAATATGAAATACAAGTAATAAAACAAATACAAAGCAATAAAACTTCTAAATATAAGCATTTTGTATACACTCCATTTTCTTATTAAAGTGAATTTGTTTTTCATATTTTTTCATGTTTTTCATGCAGGAAACATCAACAAGTGAAAAAAGCATAGATAAGGAAAATACAATTTCATTTTCATTGTGCCAAGATGATATTTTGCTTTCAACTTTTAATAATAAGAAAACATATCAGTCTCATCCAATATTCCAATCTTCCAATATTGATCGAATTCCTCTCCAGTCCATTGATGAACCATGTAGCAGCAAGCAACACAATGTACCTATGTCAACTAATATGTCAACTCAACTGACAATAGCCTCAAAAGAGTCATTGACTTCAAATGCATCAAGTGTAACGAGATGCAGTAGTAAGTATTACATAGGCTACATTTCTATATTAATTATCAGTATAGAAAATCTAAACTATACATGATATAAACTAAAAATTTTCAATATTGACAGTAAATATCTGAAAGTAGGTATAATACATATACTTCAGCATTACTCAATATTATTATTATTATGTGCTTATTATGTATTGACAAAAATTATCATTGTTACAGGAAAACGTCCGAAAACCTCTGCCGTAGAAGAAACACAACAACATATTACAAATACGTTAGACAATCAAAATGAAAATTTCCAGGTATACTACCCAATTTTCGACACACAATTTAGAGTAGATTTTCTGAAACAATTCATTTAGTTACTATGTATGCAAGAGTTTTTACTGTGTATTCAGTGAAAAAAAGCAAATGGAATGGACGAATCAATATCATTGACGTCTAAGCGACGTCTGATAGACGTCAATCGACATGTAATCAATGTCGATTTCATTGCTATTTCTCAATGAGGTACACTTCCTATTTCCTCATACGTATAGATACAAAGTACAAAATCGTTCAGAAGCGTATTTATAATTAAAATTACAACAATATTCTAATATATTTCCACCTATTACTAGGCAATGGTTGTGACTTTAAACCGGATTGCTTCTGCAACCGAACAGCAAACTGAACTTTTCAAGACATTGATAGAAACATTAAACGTTTTGTTTAAAACTATCTGAGTTCTTAGGAAGAAAACGTAATGGTTTAAAATTGTATGTTTTGTTTCAATATATTTTATTGTTTAGTTTATTTTCTAAAGAGATAATGCAAGGACAAAACTGTAATATGCATTATAACATAATGGAGAAAACATAATGGTTAAAAATTGTATGTTTTGTTTCAATATATTTTATTTTTTAGTTTATTTTTTAAAAAGATAATACAAGGACAAGACTGTAATATGTATTATAACATATATATATATATATATATATATATATATATATATATATATATATATATATAATAAAGTATTTATAAAAATGACAATTATCTTTCATTACTTATCATTTTATCATGTTTAATTTCGTAAACCAAACTGAGTTCGAAGAATTGTCCTTTGTACTCTTCTCGCTTCTACTAATCTGTTTCCGATATTTAATTGTTCTTCATCTGGGGTGTATATCAGTTGGACACGGGGCAATTGGACACGGTCCAATCACAAGTCGCTGTTCCAAGGGATCCTACAAATGTCTTTAATCACACGGTGCTGTGATTGGCTGTGTCCAAATGCACCGTGTCCAAGTGCACCGCTTCCCTTCATCTGCACCAGCAATTTCTAACGCTCTAACGCGATTATGTGCTTCAATATTCTGTTGAAGTGCAGCTCTTTGCACGGCTGCAGCTTCACTCTCTTCGTTAATATCATATTCTTTATCAATAAGATTATAACTGAGTCTTATATTGTGTAATACTGCACAAGCTATAATTATATTTGACGCCATGATGGGTGCGTAATGTAGCACACGATGACTAAGAAGACATCTCCACACATTTTTTAAAAGTCCAAAAGATCTTTCGATACAATTTCTTGTAGATGTGTGACACTGCGTATATCTTGCTTCTGCGCTTTCTGCTGCTGCATCTGTGATAGGTGTCATCAGCCAAGGTTCCAAACCGTAACCTGCATCGCCTATAATGAAATAGACATTTTTATGTATATTATTAGGTAAAGAAATATAAAATAACAATTATTATATTTACCCAAAAGCCATGTTGATCGATCTCCGGAATCATAAAATTGTTGCATAAAATCACTTACGGCAGAATATCTCCATATAAAGTTATCGTGGACACTTCCAGGAAATCTGGCATTGATGTTTAAGATTTCCAAATCGTGTGATGCTATCTTATTATAAATAATACAAGCATTAAGTTTCTTTTTGAAATGTATTTAGTACATTATATATTATGTATTTCTGTTGTAAGTCTACTTACTGCCTGAACATTAATGGAATGAAAACCTTTATGGTTTAAATATGATTCCTCGTGATGTGTTGGTCTTACAATAGCAACATGAGTGCAATCTATGCAGCCTATTACTCCTTTAAAATTTCTTTCCTTTTGAAATCTGTAAAAACATATTGTAAACAATATCATAAAATAATTATGGCAAAAACTATAATTCAGTTTGTGTGTGTGAATAGATAATTTTTTTATTTAAAGTATTTTTAAGAAAATATCCGTTAAGAGAGTAGTGTGCAATCATGCATAAATTACTTCAATTTCATGTTAGTATTATACGTTATGTTTTCTTCAGAAAAATAATATTTGTTTATAGCCAGAGTTAAATTTTAATGGTCTTTTATAATTGTAAAAGAATATTACCTTTCTTTTAAAGCTGCTCGTTTTTCATTTGTATTTGGGAATTTGATCCACTCATTGGCAAGCAATTGTGTAATACCCATCGCTACTGCTTTTATTGCTCTGCTAGTACCTGGTTGTGATACAGATATCAGGTAATCATTACCTTTTTGATAGGAGCCTATAGCAAAGAAACGCAGTGCAGCTAGTACCTGTAAGTATTATAATTACTAACACAGTTTTTTATTACATTAAATATTTCAACAAAATCAGTATTAAATAATATAAATTGTACACACAGTCGTAGACAATAAAATTGTTTATTATGTTCAATGCAGTTCAGAACGAAGTTAATAATCTAAGAAAATTTGTTTTGAAAACTGTTCAACAAATATTCTCTCGTTGGACCATTAATTGCGTTCCGCTAGATTTCATCTAAATATAGCGGACAACTGTAGTGTTTACGATGTGTGTATTTCATAGCTTTATTCGAATTTATATAATTACCTGTGTTTCTATACTTAATCCTTTTCTTCCTTTACGTTGTAAAATACACTGAAGTGAATCACATATATAAATAACTGCTTCCTTTGATAGGCAAAACACTTTTATAAACTGTTCATTGGTTAAGTCGAATGGATTAATATTATCTCTTAACTCTTTCATTAATCTACTATTTTCCTCCTTTGCTTCTTCTTCCATATTATTTAACAAATTTATAACTATTGCACCAGCCATTTTATTATAAATCGATTGAAGACGATTTTTTAATATTGCTCTAATTTACACCGAGAGGATTAAACGCGGACTGAAATATACTGTGACCAATCACAGTTGATTTTTACAAGAATAATCAACTGCAATTGGTTACAGTATAGTTCAGTCCGCGTTTAGTCCTCTCGGTGTAAACTAGAGCACTAACTTTAGCTTGTAATGATCGCGTTATGATATTTAACGCTGTCTAGCAGCCAGCGTTAGGATTACTTTACATAACGCAAGGAAATACGTTACGAATTGCGTTAAAGTGAGTTACAGAATACAATATTCTAGTGAGATTGAGTATAACGCAAGTTTAACACTTTCTTAACACATCATTAACACACCATGCGTTAAGATTTACAGAATATGAAATAGTAAAGCATGCGTTAAAACCTTTGTAACGCATGCGTTAAGAAGTTTCAGAATAGGCCCCCAGATGCAACAATATACACACACACACACACGTGTGTGTGTGTGTGTGTGTGTGTGTGTATATATATATATATATATATATATATATAT